AAAAATTCAAACCCTCCACAAAAAATAGCCGAGCGTTACTTACGCAACGTCAAGAGAAAGAAATTGCACGTCTGTGTGTAAGTAACTTTTTCACCGGAGGAAGCGCTGAAATCTTAGAATCCTGACGTTTCGAAGAAAGGTGAAAGGAAAAATGCACTCTGGCAAGGTGAGCACTTCCTTGTAATCGTATTCCGTTCCATACCACGTGTGTTCCTCTTCTTACACGCTAAAGAAAAAAAAAAATCATTACACCCATTTATCTGTTACATTCTCAAAAAATTCGTCCAAGATTACACAATCCCTTCGAGCCAATCTCCAATCCCACAGATTCATCTCTAATATCGTAAATCCTTTCACCCTTCGTTGAGGCTAAATCGCCGGAGGCATTGTACGTAAAGTCTTAATCATCGATAAAACGATTCGAGTGGGTGATATCCCGGGCGCAGGTGGCCATTGCACAGGGATACAAAATCGTCCAATAAACGTTCGTTCCCCCCGTTGAAAACGCGTTTGCAAAAGCCACGACGACACTCCCGGTTCCGCTTATAAGAGTATCCACGGGACGTGTTGGCCACGAAAAAGGACACTTCCCCGCGAGCAGTGTGCTCGCCCCGTTAACGATCCCCCATCGGCAATTCCTTCTCGTTAGGTCGTTTCCCTGCACGGCTGTATCGCTGAAGGCGATAAATCCGCGAGCGTCCCGCGACACGCGCGGCTCTCGTAGGGTGGGCTTAAATGGGCACACGTGTACGTAATAATCTACGCACACGTGCGAGGGAGGAGGAGGAAAGCATCCCGGTGGTGCGTGTGGTGGTCGTCGAGGCAAGAAGAGGACAGGGCCCGGTGTGGCCGCTACGATGTATCGTTGTAGGAGTCCGCCAAGTTCCCGTATTGATCGTGTTTCCCTTGTTCCGGGTCGCGTGCGCGTTCCTGGGAACCTCGAGTCCGCGGGATACCCACGGGAACTGATTCCGTCCGAGCGCGTGTCCCCGTCGCTCTTTCTCTCGTCCCTTTCGGCCACTCGAGCTTTTGCTTCGTATTCATAGAGAGATGGGGAGAGAGCACATGGTCAGAGAAAGGGAAAGATAGAGATGGAGAGAGAGAGAGAGAGAGAAAGAGGGGGTGGTCGAAGACTACTCGACGAGAACAACGATCAAACTGGTGGATGTATACGTGTGTGCCATTCGCTAATAACGAAAGTGGAGGCTGACTCACGACAGCGCACCCTCCTACGCGGGCTGAAAGGGCTGATCGATGCTGGGGATAAGGAGCGCGACTCCGCAACCATCACCTTGCGACCGTGTAACGACGTTTAAGTGGCCGATATGACTTCTGCTCGCCCATGCGCGATCCCACGATTTCGAGGTGGCAGGAAGGAGGTTGAAGGTTTCGAGGGTAGATTTTTATGGATTCTTGGATGAAATACATGTACCATGGATAATTTGGATTGATTGAATTGATGCTTTGTCAGGTACCATCTAATTAGTAGGGATCAGGTTGTTTTCTGGCTAGCGGAAAAGTTGAAAGTTTGGAGGGTAGATTTTTATGAATTGTTAGGAGAAATAGATGCACTAATTTCAATTAGTTGAAGTATGTATAAAATTGGTTGAACTGATGTTTCGTCAGATACCATCTAATTAGTACGGATCAAGCTGTTTTCAGGCCAGTGGATTGTTTTTATGGATTGTTGGATAGAATGTACGTCCACTTGTTGTGTTAGGTACTATATAGCTAGTACGGATTAGGCTGCTTGAAAATGTATACTCTTTCACGTACAAGCGTAAAAGTATTTATTTCAATTTTCTCAATTATGGTATGTGATACAAATGTATTTCTGCAGCTACACGCTTGTTTCCTTTTTTCTTCTTCTTCTTCTGGTTTCTCTCACTTCACTCACGATACAAAAGTGATAAACACCGGTGCGGGAATCTGAGCCATCGTACTCATCGGGGGAAGAGAACATAATTGCGTCCGTGTATCACGGAACGGAGAAAATAAATGCCAAATAGGTACATAATGCTGCAATTTAAAAATGCCATCGACGAAAACGTAACACGGATATCATGAATTGTAGTGACCGCTACATGCGTATATAATCGCGTATTCATTTAAGCAAACGTTGTATGTGTTTGTGTAAACGCAAAAACCTCTACGAAAGATATCGGTGTGTTACATGAGAATCTTGGTTGTCTTTTCCTTTTCTCCTAAATTGACTCGAAGCAACTCTTTCTTTTTTTTTCCTTTTTTTCTTGTTTTCTTTAATACGCTCGCATAATGGCATGTGATATTGCATTTTTCGATTTTCTGTTGTGTCAGAAACTGTAATAAGGTGGAGACGAGAACTCAAAGCGAGAAGTAACTTATGTCACTAATAAACGCGAGTGGTCAGGTATTCCTTGATAGAGTCTTTATCCCTGGCAAGCCAATCCACGTTCACTCTGATGGACTCGATGCTCTGTTGGACCGTTCTCTCGGTTCCCGGCGTTGGATGATCCTTGAAAAATTCCTCCACATCTTTGGCCCGTTCTTTGGTGACGAAGTTCTCCGTGGTGAATTTCACCAGTCTCGAAATCAAGAAACCGCCACCGTAGCGATCGAGAAGGGTCTTCCAGTTCTCCTTGAAGAAGTCCCAGGCCATCACACGGCCCTTGTACGTCATCGCCACAGACATGATGGCGAAGACCGTGTCCTGAGCTCTTACTTCGTCGCTCATGGCGAAGTTCAGAACCTTTGCCAGAAGAGTCTCGTCTTTGATCGCTCCTAGAGCTCTCAGTATTCTGTCTTTCTCCTCGTGAAGATCTGTTTCACGATAAAGTCTCAACATGGTCTCGTAAGTGTTAATATCGCCGACAGAGAGTACAGCTCGATAAACTGGGTTGCGGAGATCTGCAGAGAGAAGCGTGGTGCCGGAGACGTGCAACTCGAATCTCTTCTTTGCTTCTTCTATGGTGTCCTCGTCGTTCAATGCTGCCATGCGACCTAATACAAGGGATCGTAGAAGTGTGTCCACATGGCTTTCGTTGGGCTTAGGATTCCAGCCTAGTTTGTTGGTAATATCGCGCATCAGATTGCGACCAAATGCTTTGAACGAGTCCTCGAAGTCCAAGTGAGAAACGAGAACTCCGATTTTCCCTAAGCTATTCACTATGCTAGACCATACGGTGTAGTTGTCCTCCTGTTGAAATGCTTGCATCAGTTTAAGTACTTCTACGGTAGAAGCGTGGCCAGCTTGTACCAAGGCAAACAGATCGTCCAACAAGCCCAATCTATCTAAGGGTGGTAATGTATGATCTTTAACAGCGGGTAATAAGAGACGCAGAGCGTCTGGACTATAATGAGTCCTGTAAAAACCGATCGTTCCGGGATTGATTTTCACCCAATGGTCCGCAGGAACATCTTTCACACGGAACTCCTTCGTTTTCTCATCGAACAGAGCTTTGAGTACACACTCCTTCGGATTCTTCGATGTGCTCATAGTAATTGGTATGATCCACAAACTGTTTAAGATCTCGATAGAACCATCTGCGAAGAATCTTTCCTGGGTTAGAGTTATAACTCGATCGTTGCCTTCTTGACGATGTAGCACTCTGACAACAGGGAATCCCTGTTGCTTAGTCCAGCTGGACATTACGGAGCGTACGTCTTTGTTGCTGGCTTCCTCCAGAGCGTCCCAGAGATCTTCTGTTTCCGCATTGGCGTAGCTGTGCTTTTTCAGGTACAGGTTCATACCCTTCCAGAAATCATTGTCACCGATGTAAGAGTGCAACATGCGAATAACGCAAGCACCTTTGTTGTAAGAGATGTCATCGAAAATTTCATCGATTTCAGAGGGATGACCAACATGTACTTCGATGGGATGACTGTTCCTCAAAGCATCCAGTTCTAACGCTCTGATGTACGTGTCTGTGACAAATTGCGTCCAAATATCGTATTCAGGAAACAGGTGAGCAACACATAAAAATTCAACGAACGACGCATAGCCCTCGTTCAACCACAAATGGGTCCACCATTCCATGGTCACGAGATTTCCAAACCATTGGTGCGCCAGTTCGTGCGCTACGACTAAAGCGATCCACTGTTTTCGAACAGCGGATGTATTTTGTGGATCTACTAAGAGGCAGGTTTCACGGTAGGTGACTAGACCCCAGTTTTCCATAGCTCCGGATGAGAAATCGGCGATTGCGATAAGATCAATTTTTGGGAGCGGGTAAGCAATTCCAAAGTAAGTTTTGTAATATGGTAACACTTTAGTTGCGACCTCTAACGCGAATTGTCCCTGTTCCTTCTTCGATTTTGGAGTGTACACGCGTACCAGTACACCGTCGCTCGATGTATCTTCCGTATAATCGAATTCACCAATTACCACTGCTACTAAATATGTTGACATGATTGGTGTCCTCTCAAATACTAAAGTCTCAGTTGATTCATTTACTACCTTGTTTTTAATAGGCTGAAACAAATAAGTAAATATGTTTTTCAGATTTTATAAGTACTCATCACAGTTAATATCTACTAAAAAAAATAAAAAATAATAAAATAAAATAAAACCACAACTGCTAGGCGCTGCTTACCATATTGGAAAGTGCTGTAAGACCTGATGGTACATTTAGAGTAATATCAAACGTGGCTTTGTGTGCTGGTTCATCCCAGCATGGGAAGCAACGTCTAGCATCTGTTGGCTCGAATTGAGTTACAGCTGCATGTTCAACAGTTCCATTGGTTCTGTAAACACACAAAAAAGTTTTGTTAGTTTAAGAATGTCAATCATTGCTTACCATATTTGATAAGCCAACAAGTCCTGCATCACAAGGAAGTACAAGTTGTATTGTAAAAGTAGCTTTTAGCAATGGTTCATCCCAACAGGGAAAAACCCTACGTGCTGATGTGGGACATAAGAAAGTTACAGCAGACCACTTATTCTGCCTACAAAGTGTTGAAAATTACCGTTGAAAGTATTATATGCTATATTTATATTGCATAAAATCATCTTCTTACAATAGAAAACCTGTAATTTCTTTGTTTCTATATAATGTTTAGTCATACTGTTATAATAATTTAGAAATTCTAATACCCAACATATTTGCTTCTATAGAAGCCCTTCATTTTATCATTAATTTCTCCCACAAATTCCAAACTCAGGTATCCACTTCTGCCCAGTGGTAACTTTTCATTAAATACCAAAGTAGCTGTTTCCTTAGGTTCACAGACTTCAATCTGTTTTGTTCCAATAATTTTTCCATGTTTTTCTTCTTTGAAACATGCAGTTTTTATATCAATATCCAACGAATTTAAAACAATTGTGTCTGTGGATTTTTTTATCTGTAAATAATAAACATTACAGTGAAAAACATACAAATTTAAAGTATTATAGATACTTGATAAAGTATTTTAACATGGGAAAAAGGCATTAAACATTTCTCTTATAACTATCTTATCATGTTCCACTTTTAACAATTGTACACACTTTCAGAATTTGGAGTCTAGATAAAACAAAGATAAGGGGTGTATTTTTAAATTTATTGTCACTCAAGGCTACATTGATATTCGTCTTATATATAGCATACAAATTTTGTGGTTATGTTTGCCATATGGTTAAGGCTTCTCGTTCTACTATTCGAATTACAAATTTGCAACGACCCACATGAATAATGAATATTCTAATAGGTGATCTAGACTAATTGAGCTTACGTCAATGTGCACATCTTCCTTGCCGTCGAAGACAAAAGTTTTCAGATTGGGTGACAAAACAATATTATAATGATAGGGCTGAACATCTGTGGGCAGCCGGCGAAATGGCTTTTTTCCTGTGCTCAACATCGCTCGATGTTGAATCACGATCTGAAAAATTCTTAAATATCGAACTATCTTGAAAGAAGTTTTGCAGCTTTCCCTTTTTGCCGACTCACAACGCGAAAGTATGCACTAACACAAAACGTCTCAGAGCATTGCAGACGCATGCGCAACATGCATATTGACTAGAGAGATGCGAATGAAAATGGAACTACCTTCGCGGAAAAGAATCGATCACGTGCTCTGATGTCACTATAAATATAAAGGCGCAAATTTCGATTATAGGGTTTATTCGCGACTTATTTCAGCGTTATTCTTTCATTGAAATCAAATTGATTTTCAATTCCATTGATGTTATTATCTTTATAGTGGAAACAGATTATCATTCAATTTCCCTCTTAATTTAATTGAAATATTATTCTAAAATTGAAAAAAGAAATGCCCACGTGCATTCCTGGTGGAGTGAATTGAAGTAAGTAAAAATATAAGTTGCACAACTTGGTTGCATCGAAATGAGCTGTTAGCACTGCTTTTGCCTATAATTACGTAGTAGGAAGAAAGGAATGTCGTACTATGAATTTGTTAGTAATACATTTTACCATAGTAATAAAAATAACTTTTAATTTGATCAAATAATTGAAACGCAAAAGCAATCTGTAAATTATTCCCATAAAAGCACAAAGATTACGAAACATTTGTTACGTATGTCATTTTGTAACGTATAATTGATAACATTATTTCATTCATGATAAGAGCATGAATAGACGTTTCAAGGTAAACATTACTAATTGAAATCGTGAAATTATGCAATGTGATGTAATGTAACTATAGCAAACAAAGATTGCAGAAAATGAATTAAGATGGCAGTGAGTGGATGTACATGAAAACGCAATCGAGCTACCATACTGGTTGTGAACTATATACATTCAGACCAATGTGGATCGGCCAGTTTCAGACTTTTGTCTGTGGCGCGAGGCAGTGGGGCTGTGGGAATAGAGAACTTTTTGGGAGAAGTTTGTTCTCGCTGATGAGTTGTTCGAGGTAGTGGTGGCGTGCGTGAGCACCCGCCATATATCCAGGAAGTCGCGACTGAGAAACCCCGGTCGCAAAAGATATTTACGATCTCGGCGAGCCGAGGCGTATAAACCTTTGGAAAGGTTTAACCGGGGAATATCGGTGGCGCGTACCGCGGCCAGAGCACACGGCGCGAGATCTTAAGCGGTGAACGGAGAGACGGTGGTGTGTTTTTCATGGCGATCAGCTCATTAGGAGAGTATCGTACGCTGCTACCGATGTACGGGATACGGGAAAGGTGAAGGAGGTGCTCGCCGGACCTGACCTGCCCGAGAGAAACACCACGAAACGTAGCTTCTCACATACATACACACACAGTGCGTCACCGCCCATATGTGATGTGTTCCGTGCGTTCGAGCGAATGAGTAATCATGTACTGTCAAGACAAGGGCTCGACCGCCTCCAAGAGCAAAGAGGGTAAGTTGACGCCCGCGAGATCCGACTATCACAGAAGTAATTCCCTTGGCACTCCCCCCCTTCTTTTCCATTTTTCCGCAGTCTTAGACTGTGTCCTCGACGTTCGTATACCGCTTTCCGTTTTTACCCTCTCCGTGTTTCATTGCGAATTTTCGTCTCTCCGCTTTGCACATGTGAACTGGGTAAAACACGATCCAGTAGGTTGGACAGTGTCAAAAGTTCCGCGATTGTGGGGGTGTACATTAGTCTGACGAAGAGGGAAAAGTGACAGGCCAAGAGAGTGCGGTAAAGAGGGAAGCAAGGAGAGTTTGTCGTTTACAAACCAAAGGGGTGGGGGACGAACAGTATGTATTTCGAAGAGAGAAACGAATCATGTACATTCTTGGCGAACCTTTTTATCGAACTTCGGTCGCGTAAACGAGTTTATCAGATGTGAGATTGCATCGGAGCTGTACATCGTCACCTTTAGTGCTGCAGATATTGTAGTGCCTTTCGTTGCCGCGAAAACGTCATTCGTAGAACGCGACAGATGCGTGAATGGAGAAAAGTGCTTTTGTGTACGGGGAAGCATGCGGAACAGCGTGAAACGAGATGTGGAGTCAGTAGCCACTCTAAAAATGATCAACGTAATTTATATATCGTTCTTTGACATGTATAATTAAACTTTCTTTAGTTCATTGACCTATAGTAACAACACATGTGTATAGGTGCACATATGTACATTATACATTAAATATATTACACATTAGATATACATATACCATGTATACATATATTTGTCAAATTTTTAATTGCTTGTTACTTCTTAATGATAGAATTAATATTTATACAGCCATAAGATATGTGCTATTTAGATGCACACTAAAGACTTTCTAAAGGATGAGTCTTATTATATATTCTTAAAAAATGTATATTTAA